CCCCCAACCCTAAACCCCCAACCCTCAATTTCATCGATTGCATCTGCAGGACTTCGCTGTGGGTGTGGCTCGAGTGCAGTCCAGCAAAAAGCGAGAGTAGATCTATGGAGCTGAGAAGAGGCACTGGCGAGTCCTAGAAAAGGTAACCTAAGGTAGCTGCATGGGCCCCAGCCAAACTAAACCACTTCGGAGGCTCCTGTGCATCTTCTGTGGTTCCCCTGTATCTATGTCAGAAACCGGGAAGCTGGGTTTCAATACGCAGGATTAACCATGCTCACGAATAATAGACACATGGTTCAGCGAAACCCCGCCACTCTTGTGCGAAATGCACATGTATTTTTGAACATGCTGCTGCAGGGGCCGGTTTAGTGAGTATCTGATTTTTTTTAATATTCACGCTACGGGTGTGCTACTTAATATGTTAGGAGCTAGGGGCACTAGGATACATGTTTCCTGCTGCAGCTAGTTGTTTTTGAAACACATCCGGATGCTAAAGCCTTGTGCTATCGTTCATATCATATATGCACATAATGTAGGACTTGCTACTGTTAATGGTATGAAGAGTATCGCCTACCGGATGTTCTGATGTCTCAATCAGTTTGTGCCGGCTAGCTGGTCGGAGCTAGGGCGAGGCACTGCCTAGCTATATAGATGTGTGCGAAGTCAAGCAGTTGCCCACCAGCTTTGTCCAGCTTGTGCCGGGGCCGTTGCTGCTGATCTGGGTTGAAGCACTACACCGTATATGGCTTCATGTACTGTGGGACGCAGGCGATCTAGATTTAAGTGTTGTTGCCAACCAGTTGCAGCTCGCAGCTCCTGCTGTACAGTCTGGAGTGAGCTAAAAAAGAGATCGGCCGATACGGTTGTGTGCTCTGCTCTCTTTCTCTCTCTCTCTCTCTCTCTCCCCCTAAACCTTAAACCCTCCTTAAAGTTATATACCCAAATCCCACAAATATCTCCCTCGACCCCTCTCTCACTCTCACACTCCCTCTTAGATCGGTGAAAGCTACAGGATTCGGTTGAAGTTGCCACCGAGCCGTGCCCACGCAGGCCTGGAGTCCGCAGATCCGCAGCCGCCGACGAGGAGACCGCCCTGGCTAGCACACTGTGTATCTACTGATCCAGATTCTACTGTGTCGCAGGAGGCGAAATGCCCAATTCCGATCGCTGAAAAAGAAGGTGCAGCTTAAAGGTGCATCGTCTACGGAGCCGCCAACTCTCCCGGACCTTCAGCATGGATTGCCCTATAGATTGCAAAACCTGGCTAGTGCCTCGCTTGCAAGAACTGCGGTTTCATCTTTGAAGAAGAAGGGGGCCGACGTTAACTTCATCAGTGAGCTATGTGGAGCTGCCGAAGATGAGTCTGCAGGGAGTATGCATTGGCTGACAAAAAAGCTCGCTCAACGAACAACTGAGAGAAGATTTCATCAATTCTTCTCCCGATCGCTTCCGAAAGTCTCCAAGCTGAAGCTTCCCCTTCTGATCAACAAGAAGAAGAAGCTGGTGGCAATGAGGACGTGCAGCAAGTTTGTGCAACACGAGAAAGTTTTTATATGTTGGCTCGTTTATCTCAATCGAAACCAGGGTCTCTGCTGATCTGACTGGAGCGAATCGAGGTGTGGTTTTGCCGAGCTCCTATATGGCTTGGCTGGCGAAGAGGCCATGGATCCTGGAGCAGGTTTGCTTCGGGACTTCGACGCCTCATGAGAGAGAACTGCTTCTAGGATCCCATATGAACAATTCTACCTGAACTTTTACACGCTTTGAAACCCTTTATCCTTCAATAAACCGTACACGTACATCTAAGGCTCAGTTCTACTTTGCAGAATGCTGGCATTGGCTACACTGGAGGCAGAAGCTGTAAGCTTAATCGAACCATAGACCTAAACCCTAAAGCCTTAAAACCCCCTATATAAATCCTAAACAACTCCGACTTATATTTCCCACGCACAGGCCCTGGCGACCTTCCCATCCGGATCCATGGTGATGAGGGTCCTGGTTTGAAGTTCAAGAATGTGCTGGTTATCAATATGTCGAGTCCGTATCCTCATTCGGGCGACTCCTGTCTGCATTATGGATGCAACGCATGCATGTGTGATGTCACAGCTGGTCTGGGTGATATAAGTTCTTGGTTTCTTCATGTACAGCTGAGGATACCTTGAGGACACGTCTTTGCATCGCATGCTTGACAGGGCAAACAGTCCTCACCAGGGCGATGCAGAGGAACCAGAACATCGGCAGGAACTTTCCATCCACCTTGGATGCTCTTATGACATACATCAAGAAGGACCTCGACGAGCTGCCCCTAAGCTTCGAAAATTTGTTCTGCTGCAATAACGATAGGCTTTTAGCTTGGCCTCGGCCTGTGCCCAGGACCTTTACATATGATGGAGTCCCTGGCCGAAAGCTCTGCTTCTTTGGCTTGGCTGGCGATCAGAAGTGGTTACAGCAAGTGCTGCACTTGTCGGCTGCCCGCAAACAGTGAGCTGAATCTCGATGTATGTGTTTGACATGCATCGACTAAGTCCGCGACATTGGAAAGGAAATGGCGAAGACAGGGGCAACAGGACCGCATATCCTAGTTTGTAGCTGTGCTCGTATGTTGTGCTGTTCTTTTGCGAGTTGCCTGCTGCTTTCTTGTTGTGTAGGATGTGTATGCAATGCAAGCGACCTGGCGAGCATCTTCCGTGTCTTATGTTTGAAGAGCACTTCAGCTGCAAGTCAGGTTTGCCTCTACGATTGATCCACTGGATGACCAAACTTCTTTGTCCATGGGATCGGCCCACTACCTGAACTTCTTTGGCGATTCTCCGTGGGAGCTGTGTGGCCGTGAAAGCCATGAAGATCTCAGCTCCAATAGAACTACCGGGTTCTGTAGATCTCGGGATCTTTAGGGTTCTGGCTTAGACCCTAAACCCTGTTACCCTATGAGCCCTAAGACCCGAAACCCTAAAACCCCGTCGAAACACATGAATAGTCCCGCTGAGGACTTCTTGAACGAGCTCATGGCAGCTCATGGGGAGTTGCCGGCAATTTGCGAGTTCGCTGGCTTTCATAATATGCTCATCCACTACGACACTTTGCACGTGTGCTACAGAGGCTTCGGCCCAGACCTGGTTGCATCTGTGCTCTTGGAACTATTCCCGAGAACTCGGGGAGGGCTGACGACAGCACACGAGATGGCTTCTTTCTGGGCAAGGGCCTGCAACCTGGAACTTTCGTGCGATGAGTTTGTTGTGAACACCGAGGAAAAATTTGCATATCTGAATGCCAAAGGTGCCGACATCAAAATATTGCTTGTGTGGCTCGTTCCTGCGATCTTTATTCAGAGCCGGCATTTTGTGCTTTCGTTTTGTCTACTGCCTGGTTTACTTAAGGATCAACTGATTTAACTCACGCTCAGGCTGAAATCGCACCCGCTGCTGTTCGCGACTGGCGGGATAGCCGGAAAGCTTTGGTGCTGAAGATGATCCTTGGCTTATAAGTACCCTAAACCTTAAATCCTAGACCCCTACTACCCGTAGTTTCAAGAAACTTAATATATATTCGAGCCTAGGACTTTGAAAGCTCTGGCAAACTTGATCTTGCTCATGGAGCAGTACAAGTACGTCTTGATTGGGCAAGCGGAGCCGACGGCGAAGCGACGTGTTCGCCGTTTTCTGCTGGGATACTTGTGGCTCAGCCTGGATGCTTTCTGCAATGTGAAGAGGCGATTCAAGCTTCGGCCAAAGCAACTTTGAGGCACATATGATTTTTGTGCTGTATATACAGCACACTCGGGATGCTCAGGGCTCACGGCTTAACCAACCCAGGCTCCACACGTGGTGGCATATGTTCGCCGATCTTGAGCTGCTTCCTTTGAACCCTCGCATAAACAGCTGCTTCGGTGATGAAGACTTTGTTCGTCGTTTATGCTCGGTCGACTCTTGGCTCATCTATATAATATGGGCTGCAGCATCAAAAGCATGGAGTGTTGCTGTCGATCTCGCATCGATCCGAGGCATCCGGTTGTCATGCAGGTGCTGTGCACAATCAAGCTGTGAAGCGGTATCTGGCTGCAGCGGTGCCTCACTGGTTCACGGAGTTCGGACGAGCGATGGGCCGGTGAAAACGAACACGGGAAAGGGGGGGGGCCCGGTAATCCTCTGAAAACCCTCACCCCGCAAATCCTAAACCCCCGCCAAGACCCTAATGACCTTAATACCTTAACCCTAAGGCTCAAACCGGCTCAAGCAAGGCTCAAACCGGCTCAAGCTCAGATTTGCTGCTGTATCGTCGCAGGCATTCTGCAACATTTGTCACGAGGATCTATGCTTTAATGAGATTTGAGGCTCCCAACCAGTTTGTTTAGTAGGATTTGTACGAGTTTCGACAGCTTCAAGCCAATAGATAAAAAAAAAACCCAACATACCAAAAATGTGTCTTTCTCTTTTTTGGTGCCCCTTCTCGTTTTTATATTGTGGTTGTGACCTCTCCGGGTTCCTGACCTTAAGGGCAGCGGCGCGCAAGCAGCAGCAACCGGGGACCAAAAAAAAAAAACACACACAAAGACAGAAACAAAAGAAAAGGACACAACAACACGACCAAGACGAGCAGGCAGCGGCAGGAGGCGGACGTGGCCCCCCAAACGGGGCACACGCACCCACTTCCTGACCTTAGGGGCAGCAGCAGCGCAAGCAACACAGGCAGCGGCAGCAGCAGCAGCAGCAGCAGCAGCAGCAGCAGCAGCAACAGCAGCAGCAGCAGCAGCAAAACACAGAACCAAAACACCCAACAAGACCCGGACACAGAACACGACAACAACGAGCAGGCAGCAGCAAGGGCAGGAGGCGGACGTGGCCCCCCGAGCGGGGCACACGCACCCACTTCCGGACCTTAGTGGCAGCGGCGCGCAAGCAGCAGCAACAGGGGACCAAAACACGCAAACACACACACACACACAAACACGCACACACACACACACAGGAGCAAAAGACAAGGACACAACAACACGACAAAGAGGAGCAGGCAGCGGCAAGACGCGGACGTGGCCCCACGGGCACACGCACCCGCTTCCCGACCGTAGGAGTAGCGGCAGCGCAGCAGCAGCAGTAACAAAGACAGGCACAACATAGACCAGGACGCACAGGAGAGGGGGGAGGTGCCATGGCTCACAAACGGCTGCAGCAAATAAATCAAAGCCCTCCAACCCTCAATTCTGGGCGTTGGCAATTAAAAAATCTTTC